CTTGGCAATGCCCAAGGGCAGAAGTGGTGTCTTCAGCCTTAGAGTCAAGTGGTAATCTGACAATACACCAGCTCCTTGCTGGTCAGCTGGCTAGCTTGAGCTGGGTGGCTTACTGGTGGGGATGCACCCACCTTGTAGGTTTTGAGCCTCAGCAAGCTCCCTGCTGAAGAGGAACAAGCTGTGATCATGACTTCTCCAGGACAGAACATCTGATCCAAGGTCTCACTCTACAAAGGAAATCAGCAAAAAAGAAGAATATGTCTAACTGAGACATCTCCAGATGCTAACAGTCTCAAATAGGTTCACATCAGCTTTGAAATCAATAGAAAGAATTGAGGGTGGTAAATTCGGTAGTTTTCTTCCCTGGAGGTCTGGGTGAGTACTGTGGGCTACTCTGGCTTCACAGGAAATAAAATCACAAAATAAGAAATATTCCACTAGGCAATTAGCCCTGGATTTTACTCTGTTTGCTACCGAGTTTCAGGACAAAGAAATGCTAAATTCAGGTAAAAATACATATTATCTCTGATAAAGACTTTTGTTTTCTATGATGCATCAATCTATCCACACACCCAACTACAAGCACATTGTCAAGAATAAAGACACTGACTTGCATCTCATTGTTTGCAACTGCATAAATTATAGGGGAACAAGATTTTATGTAGAGTATGTGTGTTGACTTAAAGTRATTTTGAATACTATGTGAAAGAGATAGGGTTAAGACCACAGAATGATTGAGTCTGTGTAGGAGATGGTTTTGGAGACTGGTGGAAGAATGTTTTGGTATCTAGTAAGGTTTTATAACTGGTCTAGTTCCCAAAAACTACACATGCAGACATAATAGGAGGAATACAAATAGATCCAAATTKAAGATGACATAGTGTAACAATGAAGGTGATGGGGAAGAAAATTGTATAATTTCCTTTTTTGCTTATACAGAGATTCAACTTTCTGGCTTTAATGTGGTCCCATTATAGTCTGACCATAACATTAAATTAGAAGATAGGCTGAAGGATATAATACTAACACTATTGAGAAAAAATTTAAACAGGATTTCTGATGGAGATGTTTATTATTATAGACAACATGCAGAGACACATGAATGTGCACACATACAGAGAAAACACATAGAGTTGAACATAGGTGTTTACTGACCTTTGTAGTACAAGAAACCAAAGATACAAATGTCAAAATGTTTTCTGCGTGTCAAGGAGATTAGGAATAGGGGTTAAGTTTTAGAAAGATAATTTAAGGTTAGAAAAATGTATATCAGGGCTGGATAGGATGCTCCAAACCATCTGTTCAAACTACATCTTTAAAATGATTCAGGAACATTTTTACAATATCCTGAAAGATCAGCTTTCAGCCTCTAAACTAGCAGGAAACTTTTAAGTTACAGTAATATCACTTCCTTTTCAGGAAGAATATTTTTCTCATGGGCTCTCCTTTTAAAGTTTTCTTTATACTGAGCCAAAAATCTGCCCTGTTGTGAATTTTACCTGTGTGGTGGCATTTTGAGAAGAACAAAGCAAATTTACAGCTTTTCCCATAAGACAGGAGTTTAAACACAGATACAAGTGTTATGCTTGAATTAAAATATTCCCTCTTCTAGTCTAAAAACTCCAGAAACACCTCCAGTTTCTCATGCAGGAGGGTAATAGGTGTCCTTTTGGTTCAATTGTCATATTGGTTCAATTGTCCTTTGGTTCTCTCTTGTCTATCCCCAGAACTTGCATGGTACTCCTTATGCTAACTGATCAGTGCAGAGTCTTAGGTACTACACTTTTATTTCAATAGAAAGTTGTAGAAGGAGAAATCATGAACACAGTGATGTCTGGGATGCAAATGTGAATCATTAGGAAACAATTGTATCAGCCTAACATTATATCTGTTCTTTACTGGGATGAAAGATTTGGGCAAGGTGAAAGSAAGTGGATATTTTCAAGCTGTCACCTTCAGTTGAGGAATGTGGAAGCCAGTAAAACTTGCCTGTTGTAAATAGTTTTTTCCTCAACATTTGGAGGACTGTCAGTTTGGAGGTTTACTTAGGTGCTCCGCAATTAAGTTGTCCCCACCCTCCAGGGTCACGTCATTCCTGAGTTATGAGATGTAGGACTAGGAATAATGTATGGAATCCACAGAGGTCCATCATCACATTCTGTGTGTGATGGAGCTGCCAACTGTTCATGAAAGACAGAACATACTCCTGGTTTCCAGGGAGATTCTCTCTTTATGATTTTCAGGTGTGGGCATAAGATAAGCCTGAGCAACTAAGACCATGAGAAATGCTCTATGAGGTATGGAAAAAGTATCAGACTGCAGCCACTGGTTCTTGAATGACAGATGTGTGGCCAATACAAGGAAAGCAAGGTGAGTCATGCTGAACACAGAGTCACTAGCATCCATCTCAGACGTTTAATAGAACACTTCATTTGGATATATATACCGATAATGTAGTTCTACACCTCAGCCCATTCTCAGAAGGACCCTAGAGATTAGAAAGCAGTACACAGCCTCCAAAGGAAAAGCTCCTGTTCAGGCTGAATATAGTCCACATGATTGAGCAAGGATAGTGACTTTGAGCTACATAGGATTGGGACTTCTTTCACAATGACTCCAAAGAAATATGGACACCTCCACAACACAGTTTATAAATAAACCTGAAATTGCTGTAAGTCTTCATGCCTTTCTAAGGACCTGTGAAAGAACTCTGCACAAAGAAGAGTCCCACTTGGATGGTATGTAAAGAATAGTAGTGTAGACAGACAAGTGTTAAAAGTATATATTACATAAATTGGTACTTCAGAATGTATGAGATCCTTTAGTCCAAATCAAAATCTTGTGAAATAAGGATTTGTGTTTGCTTTGCTTTGCATTTTTACAGTTAAGTGATTGGAGACTCACAGAATTGAAATTTCATAACAGGTGAAATGGGAAGTAATAAAGTTGATATGTAGGGATCTGACTGCAGACTTCAACAGTTAATTTACTGAGGTGTTCATCCAAAACCCATCATAGGTATGTTGGTCATATTACATGTGTATTAAAACTTTCTCTTTATAATTTACGTTTTCCCCATCTTTTGTATAAGGGCATGAACCATGGCACCTAAATACTTTACTGGAATAAGTCATCCAGCACCAAAGCACTGTTAATGATCTTTCAGTACAGCAGACTTAATGAAAAGAAGAATGTGTTAATTTGGCAAAAACCGCTCATGTTGAGCATAGGCTAAGCTTCTATTGCTTAGGATTTTTTTATTTTTCATTTTTTTGGTTTCTGGTAAATTTTCTTATATGGTATTTAGATTTTAACCATAAGAAATATCAATGTTTCAAGTAAAAAGCAACTTTATGCATATTTCACTGCCATAGTTTATTAAAGTGTGCTGACCATTAATCCTCTGGATTCCTAGAGGAAATAGATTTTCATCAGATGTAATGGGAGAGTCAAATGTTTCATTCAGAAAAAGTTCCTTAACATGTAGTGCATATCATGAACAAAAATAAAGTGAATTTATCCCTAAGAGAGGACAGTAGTATTTTTAAACTGACTGTGTTGTGCACAGGGCTTGGAGTAGGATACAAACGTGTAAAAGACGTCAAGTGGGTGTGACAAGTCCTTTTTTTTTTGCAAAAAAGATTGGACTAGAGAGGAGAGCAACTCTTCCCAGGTAGTGGAAGGATGGATTTATAACTTAGATAAACAGGTGGGGATACTTGAAAGGTGATGACTTATCATAAGGAATGTATCTGTTATGAATTATTTTTGCCCTAAAGGGATGCATCTCTACTCTTCCTGGTCCTAAGTGACAGATGGTCGTTGATCATGAGCAAGGATTTCAGGATTGGTGTATTGAAGTTATTCTCTGAACAGAAGAAAGCGGAGCACCAGAATCCAATTTTCATTTTTTTGTGGTGCTAGGGATTGAACAGAGGGCCTTGTGCACGTGAGGGAAGTGTTCTACCAACTGAGCTATATCCCCAGTCCCAGAAGCCCAACTTTTGATCTCAGCCTCATAAGTCCTTAACATCAGCCACTGAAAAATCCTACCTACTACACCAAGAAAATGACAAAGAGAATAGAATACTGATGTTATGTTTTTATACTTTAGATTTTTTTATACTTTTGTGGTACTGGGGATCTAATCAATGGTCTATGCATTCCAGGGAAGTACTTTACTACTAAGCAACACTCCCAGTGACAAATTAGATTTTTTTTTTAAAAGCAATTTTTACATGAATGCATTGGATTCTTGTCTCAATGGAGGGAGGCAATACATCATGTATATGTTCAGACAAGGAAGCATCATGTCAAAATCATTGAATAGATTGCCTAAAATCATGGAATACACAGGCAGTGGGAATAGGGCTCACAAAAAGGGCCATCATTCCTAATCTCCACACTACAGAAGAGAAGAGTAGGAATAGAAGACTGAATGGAACTGAACTAAATAGCAAAGTGTAAATTAAACGTATGCTTTAGGAATACATAGGGAATACATGTAGGAATACACAGGGAACAGAGAAAATAATATTTTAATTCAATTTCTTCAGAAGAGGCATCAATCTTTTTCTGTTGTTTGGGCAAGAAAAAGACTATGAGAAGTAAGAATACCAGTATTGAAGATGGCTTCATTTTGGTAGGCTTCTCAGACTGGCCTCAACTGGAACTCACCCTTTTTGCTTTTATTTCATTTTTCTACTCTCTGACCCTCTTTGGCAACACCAGCATCATTGCTCTCTCAAGACTGGACCCTCGACTGCACACACCCATGTACTTCTTCCTTTGCCACCTCTCCTTCCTGGACCTCTGCTATACCAGCAGCACTGTGCCCCAGCTGCTGATCAATCTTTCTGGACTTGATAGGACCATCAGCTATGGTGGGTGTGTGGCCCAGCTCCTCATATCTCTTGCCTTGGGCTCCACTGAGGCTGTGCTCCTGGTGGTGATGGCCTTTGACCGCTATGCTGCTGTGTGTCGTCCACTCCACTACACAACCATCATGCACCCTCATTTCTGCCAGGCACTGGCTATTGCCTCCTGGGTGGGAGGCCTCATGAACTCTCTGATTCAGACAGGCCTCATGATGGCCATGCCTCTCTGTGGAAATCAGTTGAATCACTTYTTTTGTGAGATGCCTGTACTACTGAAGTTGGCTTGTGAGGATACAAGAGGAACAGAGGCCAAGATGTTTGTGGCCCGAGTCATAATCATTGCTGTTCCTGCAGCACTGATTCTAGTCTCCTATGCACACATTGCTAAGGCAGTGCTGAAGCTCAAGTCAATGGCTGGGGGTAGAAAGGCTTTGGGGACATGTGGCTCCCACCTCCTGGTGGTTTGCCTTTTTTATGGCTCAGCCATCTACACATACCTCCAACCTACAGGCAGTTACTCTGAGAGTGAGGGAAAATTTGTTGCCCTTTTTTATACTATCATTACTCCTATGCTCAATCCTCTGATCTATACCCTACGGAACAAGGATGTGAAGGGGGCTCTCTTGAAAGTACTAGGGAGAAGCAGAGATTGAAGGTAGGAGGGGAAACAAATAGCATTTTCCATGGTAACTTGCATTTCCTAAAAACTAGCCTTTTCTTTGGAGGCAGTTGGCCACTAGGGAATAACCCTCTTGAGTCCTCAGAATTTCACTATATTCCTTCTTGGGAAGTTGGAAGTGGGAATCTCTAATTCAGTTTTTTATGATTATTGTTCAGGAGGGAGTAAATCTTCTCTTGTATCACAATGTTTCAAAAGAATGAGTTTGAGAAGAGAGTACATTTTGCCATATGTGGACAATAGGGAAAAACTCTGTACATGTCTGAGAGTCAGGGAAGACTAATTCAATGTGGTAACCCCTTTTCCAAAGAGACTGATGCCCATTGTTGTCAGTATCTCTAAGTGTGCCTAAATGGGAAAGACATATGTTAACTTCCAGTTTTTAAAAATTCTGGCCCTGACCAACTTCCCATACAACTCATACCTATTTCTACCCTCTCAAACAATATTTATTCCTCTAGTCTTCTAGTCATAACAGTTATTAGCAAATAAGCGGTCATGCTCAGGTGCCCTATTCTGAGCAGATAGGGTTTCAAWGTGAATGTCATTTACCTACTGAAGGAAAAAGGCAAAATATGTAACATGACATTGAAAAAAGAAAAGAATAAAAGTCTTATTACTTGCACCAAGTGTGTTAGTCATGAAATCTGTCTAGGCCAGGGGCAAAAGGACAATCAGTGTAGTAATAAATGAATGGGTCAGGAAATAAAATGCTAATAACTACTGAGCATACCACTCCCTCCAACCTGTTGCCAAGGTTACCAACCTCCAGGGAAATGTTCCTCCCTACAAGGAGGTGTTAATGAATGGCTCCTGGGCTGCTCCCTTCCTGCCTCTAACCCTGGGAGGCTGCTCTTGGTCCACTTTTTGGTCATGTAGGCAAGATAAGAGGAGGAGGGAGCATGAGAAGAAAGGAAAAATAAAATGTATAGAAAGAGGGGGGCACCCCTACTCCTTTGGACAACAACTAGGACCCCCTCCTGTGGCAGAGCCTCTTTCCGTGTGTGTGTGTATGTGTGTGTGTGTGTGTGTGTGTTTGTGTGTGCATGTGTGTGTGTTCTATCCTTTAAATAAACTCTTTGCTCTTGCCTCAACATTTCTGGACGGTTCAGTCTTCAACACTGGAAGAAGAGGACTTGAACCCAATTCTCAACACCAGTATCATCATAAAGAAATAATGTGCAAAAGAAAACAGAACAAAAAGAGAGAAGTTCCTGTARTAACATTTGTCCACTTCATACTGTGTATGTAGCCCTGGATGCTCTGCCACTGAGGCTTAGTTCAAATGGGTATGTTATCTTTTCCTCTTCTCTCTCTTTCCTAACCTCAAGGGAAATGATTACCTTTTTCCTATCCTAGGCCTGAGTTACCTGTCTTTGAACACACACCACAGGAGCCAAGTAATTTAAATAATTTACTCATATTCTGTCCTCAGTACTTCTTTCAATCACCACTCCCTGTCCCTGGTCCCCATCCTCTATTGTAATGGTCATCCTTCTATTTTTTTTTTTCTTTATTGGGGACCAGGGATTGAATCGCAAGGATTCTTAGCCACTGAGCCAAAACCCCAGCCCCTTTTTACTTTTAATCCTTTTTATTTTGAGGCTAGTGTATTGGTCAGTTTTCTGTAGAAGAACTGAATCAACAGGAAGTGTGATTATAATCAGGGAGTTTATTATACTGGCTGGTTAGTTCACAATGGCCATCTGTAGGCTAGAGAGGTAGAGGAACCTGTAGCTGCACAGTCCAAGATGCCTCAAAGCAAGAAGAATCAATGATGCTACCCCAGTTGGAGRYCAAAGGCTTCTGGAAACTCCCKGTAGAATCACTGGCAGAGTCCCCTGTGAAAGAGTGAAGGATCAAGAGTCTGATTTGCTCRGGTGACCACAGCAGCAATCAAGAACCTGTTCAAGAAGAATGGAGTTTGCATCTGCTGCTGCTTCCTTGCTCTCCCAACATTTATGCCATCCAAGYCTCCAGCATATTGGTGCTGCCCTAGCTTAGGGAGGGTTTTCACTTCAGTTCACTATCCCATATCCCAGATCATTCCTAGATATAACTTCACTGACCCACCTAGAAGCCTCTTAATCTTTGGCATCTCTTAATTCAATCAATCAAGTTGTCAATTCAAATTAACCATTAYAGCWGGTTTTTGCTAAATTGCTTARGGCCTCACTAAATTGCTGAGGCTGGATTTGAACTTGCGATCCTCCTGCCTTAGCCTCCCAAGCCACTGGGATTACAGATGTGCACCACAGCACCCAGCAATTTATTCATTTTCAAATTCCTGTCTTATACCTAAAGGTGAAATTCACTGTGGTATAGTCATATATGTATACAGCATAATTTATTCAACTTCATTTCACAGTTCCTCACTTTTTCCCTGGATACTCCCTTCCCTTTTATCCCCTTCTTTTACTATATTGGTCTTACTTCTTTTTTCATGGGATTCCTCTCTTTTCACCTTTGTTTTACTCTGGCTTTCACATCTGAGAGAAAATTTTCAACACTTGACTTTCTGAGTCTGGCTTATTTTACTTAGCATAATATTTTACAGGTCCATTCATTTACCATCAAATGCCATAATTCCATTCTTCCTCAAGGCTGAGTAAAGCACCATTGTGTATGTATAACCCATATACACCATGTTAATTTATCTGTTAACAGGCACCTAGTCTCATCTCATACCTTGATTACTGTGTATAGTGCTGCTCTAAATATTGATGTGGCCATATCCTTAGACTATGCTGATTTTAATTCTTTTGGATAAATACTGAAGGTAGAATATCTAGGTCATAATAATGGTTCCATTTCTAGACTTTTGAGAAATCTCCATACTGGTTTCCAAAGTGATTGTACCAATTTGCAGTATCAAGAACAACATGTAAGTTGCCTTTTCCCCCACATCCTCACCAATGTTTGTTATTGTTTGTATTCTTGATTATTGCTATGCTAACTAGAGCAAGATGATATCTCAATGTAATTTTGATTTACATTTTCGTTATTGCTAGGGATGTTATACATTTTTTTTTCATATATTTTTCTCCCATTTGTATATCTTCTTTTGAGAAATACCTGTTTGCTTTTTTGCCCATTATTAATTAGATTATTTTTAGATTATTTGTTCTCTCTCTCTCTCTCTCTCTCTCTCTCTCTCTCTCTCTGTGTGTGTGTTAAGTTTTTTTATTCTTTAGATATTTTGGATTCTAGTCCAGAGGAGAAACTGGAAAATATTTTCTGCCACTCTGTAGGCTGTCTTTGCACACTTAGCCCCTTTGCTGTGCAGAAGGAGTTGATTTTTTCCATTTGATGCTATTCCACTTATTATTCCTTCATTTTATTTCTTGAATTTTACAGTCTTCTGAAGGAAGTCAGTGTCTTTGTCAGTTTTTTGGAGTTTGTGTGCATGTTTTCTTCTAGAGGTACAAATTTTCTGGTCTAATTCCTAGGTCTTTAATCCACTTTAAGTTGACTTCTGTGAAGGATGAAAGATAGCAATCTTGTTTCATTCTTCTACATATGGATACCCAGTACACCAGATCATTTATTTAAAATTTTCTTTTCCCCAACATATGTTTTTTCACAGCTTTGTCAAGGATCAGGTGACTCTATCTACGTGGGTTTTTCTCTGTGTCTTTTATTCTGTTCCACTGGCCATGAAGTCTGTTTTGGTGTCAACATGCTGTTTTTGTTATCACAGTTCTGTAGTATAATTTGAGATCCAGTACAGTGATGCCTCCCAAATCAGTCTTCTTGTTCAGTGTTGTTTTGGCTATTTGGGGTCTTTTTCTTTTCTCTCAAATAAATTTAAGGATTTTCTAGTTCTGTGAAAAATGTAATTGAAATTTTGATGGTATTACATTGAATCTGGATATTGCTTTTTGTAGTATGACCATTTTGACAATATAAATATAAATTCTGTCTATCCGAGAAGGTCTTCTATTTATTTCTTCAATATTCTATAGTTTTCATTGTAGAGATCTTTCACCTTGGTTAGATTTATTCCCAAGTATTTTTTGAGTTGACTGTGAATGAGATAACTAACCATATTTCTTTTTCAATAGATTCATTACTGGAGCCTAAAAAAGTTATTGATTTTGGTATGTTGATCTTGCATCCTGATACTTTGCTCAATGTTTTTCAGCTTTAGAGGACTTCTAGTGAGGTTTGTGGGTCTTCTAGATTCAGGATCATRTCATTGACAAATAGAGATATTTTGATTTCTTTTCCTATTTGTATCCCTTTAATTTCCTTCTCTTTCCTGTTTGCTCTGAATAGTTTTAAGAACTATGTTGAATCTCAGTGGTGAGAGTGCACATCCTTGTCTTGTTCCTAATTTTAGAAGAAATGTTTTCAATTGTTCTTTATTCTATATGCTATTGAGTTTGGGTTTGTCATATATGATCTCTATAATATTGAGGTAAATTTCTTCTATCCCTATCTTTCCCAGCATTCTTCATATAAGTGTTGCTGAATTTTGTTAAAGACTTTCTGCATCTATTAAATTGATCTTGTGATTCTTGAGTTTGGTCTTGTCATATATGTCCTTTATAATATTGAGGTAAGTTTCTTCTATCCCTAGCTTTGCCAGCATTTTTCACATAACGTGATGCTGAATTTTTTAAAGAGTTTCTGCATCTATTAAGTTGATCCTGTGATTCTTGTTCTTTATCTATGTGGTTAATTACATTTACTGATTGGTGAAAGTTGAAATATCCTTGTTTCCCTCAGATAAAATCCACTTGATCATGGTACACTATATTATAATATGTTTTAAATATGATTTGCTTATACATCTCTGCGCATCAGTGATACTGGTCTGAAGTTTACTTTCCTTGATTTGTCTTAGTCTGGTTTTGATATCGTGTACATACTGGTTTCTAGAATAAATTTGGCTGTGTTCCTTCCCTTTGTGTTCCATGGAATCTTTTGAGTAGGATCAAATTAGTGCTTTTTTTAAAGATCTGGGAGAAC